TCTGCCTCAGTCTCTGGGAGTTCATATGAACTTTGATCCCATTGATTTAGAGAACTTTATTTTATTGGTGTCCTTCATCACCTCTGGTTCTTACATTCTTTCAGGATTCCCTGAGTCCTAGGGGGAGGGGTTTGATGGAGACATCCCATGAGGGCTGTGTTCCAAGGCCTCTCAGTCTCTGCATAATATTTGGATGTGGGTCTCTGGATTTGTTCCCATCGGCTGCAGGAGGAAGCTTCTCTGAAGATGGTTGAGCAAGGCACTGATCTATGAGTATAGCAGAGAATCATTAGGAGTCATTTTATTGCTGTATTGCTATAAATAACCATAACTGCACACATACACACACATATACATATATGTATATATATGTATATATATACACAACACACACACACATATATACAACACACACACACATTTGGCTTTCCACTAGGTCCTTGGACTATCCGGTCTCAGGTGTGAGTCTCATCTCGCGGAGGCGGCCTTAAGTCAAAGCATCTATTGTTTGTTTCTCCCACAAACTTGGAGCCACCTTTGCACTGGCACACACTCAGGTGGAGGTTGTGCACAGATCAATCGGGATGAATGGGCTGGTGCTTCCGTTTCTCCTTTGGCAGCATGTAGAGCACCTTCCTGTGCTAAAAACACTAGAACCTATGAGTGAAGGCTCTATGCATGCGCCGGACCTACTTCTGTGTGTTTGATGGTTTGTGTAGGTGTCATCTTCAGCAATGGGACACTGAAGTCAGTTTGGGGAGAGCAACCTACATAATCTTGGCAACAGCTAGGGTTTGGTGGGGCGGGAGATTTCCATGGGACTCCTTTGGCCAACAACTCAATAAGATGTAGCCCAATTCCAGCACTGGAAGCTTCATTTGGTGACAAGAGATGGCTAGTTGGGGCTCTGTCTCCCACATTATTTGACTATTTCATTTTGATCAGTTACCTTCATATACATATATATTTTAGGAGGCTTCTACTGTATTAGGTGTCCATACTGCCCCTCAAATGACCCTTAATTTTAGTTGTCCCTTCTCGTATTCCATTCCTCATCCCCCTTCATTGTGTAAATGTACCATGTTTCCTTTATCCATTCTTCTGTTGAGGGACATTAAGGTTGCTACCAATTTCTGCCTACTATGAATAGAGCAGCAATGTTGGTTGAGCAAGAGTCTGTGTGGTAGGATGAATCAACCTTTAGGTATATGCCCAAGAGTGTCATGGCTGGATCTGAGGCAGATTGATTACTATCTCCTTAAGGAACCACCACACTGATTTCTATAGTGGCTGTACAAGTTTGTACTCTCACCAGCAATGGATGCCTGTTCCCCTAATTCCACAACCCCACCAGAATGAAATGTCATTTGTTTTATTGATCTTAGCAATTCTGATGGGTGTAAAATGAAATCTCAAAATTGTTTTGATTTATATTTCCCCAATGACTAATAGGAATATTGAACATTTCTTTGTTTCTCAGCCATTTTGATGTTTTTGAGAATTCTGTTTAGAATTGTGTACTCCATTTTAATTGGGTTATTTTGCTTCTCTATAGCAATGTTTTAGTTCTTCATATATTTTGGATATTAGCCCTCTAATGGATGTACAGTTGGTAAAAATTCTTTTCCTATTCTGTGGGCTGCCTCTTTGTCCATCTGAAGTATGCTTTGCCATGCACAAACTTTTCAGTTTCATGAGGCCCCATTTATTAATTGTTGATCTTTGGGCCTGTGTTAACAGTGTTCTTTTCAGGAAGGCTTCTCCTATGCAATAAGATCAAGGCTATTCCCTACTTTCTCTTCTATCAAGTTCAGTGTATCAGGTGCTATGTTGATGTCCTTGATCTATTGGAGTTTTGCTATAGCAAAAACTCTCCAGTGAGGACTTTGGACAAGTGATTAACAAATTCTCAAGACTTTTTCCAGGCAGCAAAAACAGTTCGTACAAAGACAGCGCATCCAACTCAAGTGGGGAGAAAAATGAAGACAACATAGGCTAATCAAGAAACCAATTAGCAGAACTTTGTCAGAACAACTTAATATGTAAAAATAATGCTCATCCCAGGAACCATATATTGGCAAATAAAAAGACCATTGTCTAGTATGAAATATCTCTCCTCAACCTGTAGGACAAAGGTGTCCCATGGCCCCCAAACAATACAAATTATTGTCATTGCTCTTAGTTGACTACTAGAGCTTTATGTAAGACAATATTGCTGAAGACACTACATATATTAGTCACAGGTCATGGAGAAACATACGTGGTACTCACTAAAAATCTTCCTTCCTGATGGATAACTCTCTGTGGTAGTTTGAAAGAAAATTGCCTGACATAGATTCATAGGCAGTGGCACTAATATGAGGAGTGACCTTATTGGGATAGGTGAGGCCTTGTTGGAGGAGGTATGTCACTAGACATGGGCTTTGAGGTCTCAGAAGTTCAAGCCAGGCCTAGTGGCTTACTGTCTCTTCCTGATGCCCATAAATCCAGATGTAAAACTCTCATCTCCTTCTCCAGTACCATGTCTGTCTGCATACCTCCATGCTTCCTACCATGAAGATAATAGGATAAACCTCTAAACTGTAAGCCAGCCCCAATTAAATGGTTTTCTTTATAAGAGTTGCCATGGTCATGGCGTCTCTTCACAGCAATAGGGACCCTAAGACACCCCCTTAGCACTAGAAAGCACTATGAAGGCTGCTGGGGTTGGGGGCAGGAGTCATGAACAGACTTACCCAGATGTGAGCCCTGTGAAATGTAATAATGACCAGTGTGGCAAGCTATGTGTATAAATGCAGTAATGGCAAGAATGTCATAGATGCAATCAACCACTTCCTCATAGAATTTAAGGTCCACTCTACTGTAGGAAACACATGCCTAATACTGCAAACCTGGCCGAGAACCATGGTTAAGGCAGGGACCCCAGGAATAAACCTATTCCTATGATTTTTGCTAAAGAGACATTGTATCAAACTGCCTTCTAAAGCCCTTTCTATCTGTAGAACAGTGCACCTCTCAGACCACAACAGAGAAGTTTCTTTGTGAAGTAGGCAGTGATTAATACAAACACTCATAACTGTTCAAAGTTCAGAGAGTACCCAGCCACAAATGGACATCTATATCACACCCCACTGCCAAAGCTCAGAGACCATTGAAGAAGACAGGACAGAAAGATTGTAAGAGCCAAAGGTCATAGAGGACCATAGCAAAACTTTTCTTCAGATGTACATATTTTTTAAAAAGCAGATATAATGCATCTATGTGCTTTTGGTTTTACTTAACAAATAATGTATGTGTTTTGATTATAGTATTGTAAGTAACTACATACCATTTCATCATAAAGACATGAAGACGTGTCATTGCATGAAAATATGCTAAGGAGTAAGTTACTTCATCAAGGTCACAGAATAAAACTACTCCTGCCTTAATAAAAATAAACAATGGAGATGTTTGTCTCTCATGATCCATCCTGGAGTTTAGGGACACACAGTTCAGAGATGGTGTAGCTAGCAACACTCCTATGCCATGAAGCGTGCCACCAATTCAAGGATGGATAGTAACTCCACCATCTCCAGTGTTTTCCTCAGATGCACAGTTCAGAAGAGATGAACATTCCAGCCCATGGGCAAAAACAAAAACAAACAAAAAGGAGAAATGGGAAGGAAGGAAATGACTGATACTAGAAATTACATGCATTACCTCTGTTTATACTCTATTGGCAACACAGTGCCAACTCATAAGAGGAAACTATAAATTCTGGGTATCTCGGAATCTGATTACTATGAGAACGAGGAGGAAAGAATATTAAAGAACTAATGAAGAGCTCTGCCACCCATTTAGAGCTCTTATGCCACAGATTTTATTCATCACTTCATTTATCAGCATCCCTTCTATCTGCTAACGTTATAACATGACTAATACCTCCAGGTTTTATAGCATTGATACCGGTTGGGTAATATTCACTACATATTAAAGTGAAGACTGTGGTGGGTAGGAACAGGAAAAGTCAGGTGGTTTGTACATTTTGAGAGTTTATTTTGAGATGTAAAAATATTACATACGCAATTGATTTTAACTGTATAATTGTAAATAATGAATGCTCAGTTTCCACTTCATAACTTGTCAATACCTATCATCAGATCCTCCCAAAACAGCACTCCTGGGCAACTGTGCAATGTAGAAACCAGCGAAGTAAGCCCACCGAGTCCAGCACTCCACCACCAGCTCGGTGCTCCCGGCCTTCCACTCAACTCTGTAGCACCGGATGTGGGTGCTGCGCTGCTGCGTAAATTTTCACTCAGGTGGTGTTAACTCTCACCATCTGAACAGAACTTGCTTTTGCCCTGGGGCTACATCTCTAGATATTAAGATAGATTCTTTGAGTTGCAACTTAATTGAATTGTTTGCTATCAGTCACTATGTAAACTCTGGCCCTTTCTAGATCAAGCCTAGAAATTCGGTGCTAGGGTTTCTTGATAGTAACAGCTCAACGAACATCAGGATCCTTTATCTGTCACGCCCCACAAATGCACACCTGTTTCTTTACGCTTCTCTCTTTTTCTTGGAAGCTCCCTCCCTCTTTTCTTTTTGTGCTGCCTTGTTAAACTTCAAGCCAACAATCTACTCAGTGACGGCTTAGCTATTAGTGGTATCTTCTCCAGGGGTCCTTGGTTAAATTCTCTAGTTTGTGTTAACCATGTACATCATAATGTGGCCTTCGTTCAGGGACATCCCACTATTCTTAGGGAGCTAGAATGTGATTTCCGTCGCCTAGGAGTGTAATGACCACGCAAAATACAAAGACGCCTCATATGCTTCCTTTATGAATGTGCTTTACTTTAAAATATTAGCCAAAAGACGAAGTGGTGGCTAAAACACAAGCACTCGGGCTCTGGGTCAGGATGCCAGATGACAAAATCAAGCCCTTAGATCACTGGGAAATTGCTAACACAAAGCCAAGCCATGGAGTGCTACCGTCAAGCTTCACCAATGGAATATCACTATTTGTAGAAGCAGAAAATCTTCTTTGCTTTAGCTTTCAGTTTATGCTGTGTGATAATGAGGAGGACAGAGTGTCCTGGAGGGTAGGCAGCAGTAATAATCATGCAAACAGCCTGGGCTCTCATACTCTTCCTTGCATAGGAAGGGAGGTAGAGCAGGGCAGCGATTGAGTAGGGAATGTAGAGCAAGAGGAAACAGACCATCAGCCTCATGGCACCCATGTGAGCCTCCATCTGGGGATTCCAAAAGCTGCTCGTGTTTCTCTTCATCTTCTGGATATGTCTTCTCAAGGAGTGTATCAACAAGGAGGCAAAAGTCACATTGAGCATAAACTGTAGCAGTGAGCTCAAGACCAAGGAGGCTGCTAATGTCAGGATGCCCTCGCTGAGGTCAAACGCAGTGTCATTTCCCCCAGTTACGTGTTCATGAAAGCGTGACATCCGTGTGAGCACGAGGTACAGGAGTGTGGTGAAGGCGGAAATCAGAAGGCATGCCAGCAGCAGGCTGGAGGTCTTTGCAGAGATTGTCCTTTTCAGCAGAAGAAACACTGGATGCTGGAAATTCGTAATCTTCACACAGTACAAACTGTTCAGCAAGGTCACTAACCAGAGACTGTTGGAGTCCAGAAACTTCCAACACAACAGAAAGAATGTGGAAAAGTAGACTGACCTTGCGACATTTGTCGTTATGTAGACAGTGTTCAGTAGAAACAAGCCCAGGGTCAGGGACCTAGTGACAGCCAAGCAGAACAAGATCCTGTCCGAAGAGGAGACTCTGCGGCTTTTGACCCAAGTCTTATAAATGACCACTGTGATAAGCAGATTTGCAATGATTCCTACAAAATTAAAAACAATCGAGGCACCTAACACAGATAAGTACAGTTTCCAAAGCATCTTTACTCACGGAAGACTCTGTCTGTAAGCGCTGATGAAAACAAACTTAAATGTGTTAAGTAGACACACTATTCAGCCTGGAAGGAGGTCTCCTTTTTATTTTCCACCGTGGCAAATGAGCCCTTTCTGCTCTAAGAGGCAGCTGCTTTTACTGGGATGCAAATCTTTCAAGGATTAAATTACTATTTCTTCACCCCTGTTCTCAGAAACGCCTAATTACGAACAAGCTAAAGTGAATCCAGAAGCTGTTCCGGCAAGAGCAGAAAGACGAGAAGGAGTCGTAGCAGACTCCAAGGGCTTCCAACCCAACGCAGAGGCCTCTAGCCCAAGACTACTTCAGTTTCACAGCAGCTTTACTTAACAGAAGCCACAGAACGTTGTGGGGAACCAGGTTCTGTGTCCCCCATGTGTTGAAACTGCAGCCGCTGTCTCCAGCTGCGTTATCTCCCGCACCCCTTTGCCTCTTCATACCTGAGGTGATTTACTGACTCTAACACAGTAAGTTCAAAGAGCAATCCCCTCTTGAGAGGCAGGCTTTCCATGAGACATGTTGAGGGGAGCACAGCAGAGAGAGGGAATTTGTGCCATAATCTGTTCTGGAGTTTGCCCTGAAAAAAATATCCACTCTTTCTGTTTCCTTTATGAATCCAATCTGGAGCTATGCTTAGATCTATGCAGCTACAACATGTCCCCTTAGGCATCCAAGTACTCTGATGTAAAATCCAGGGTAATTGTTCAGTCACATTAGAAATCCACATTCAGGAATACCATGTTTCCTAACAGACTATGTTCACAAAGTTAAGGAATTTTCTATGATACTGAACAATAGTCTCGTTGATTCAATGACAATAAATTGATGTCTCTTCTTTTTAAATAATATTAATTAAACATCAACATATATACATACATCTACATATTCTATAAATTTTGAAAGCATGTATGCATCTTGAAAAGAGCAAGGGAGGGGAGAAGAATATGAAGGAGAGGAGGGACAAAAATGATTGGTCTTTTACGCAATCAAAAAAAAAAAACTACTTGGAAGTAACTTTAGTAAAATGTCAACAAAACACAAGAACGTACTGGAGCCTGGAATCCAAGGGTCTTGATTTCCATGCTGTTGTTTACAGAATTACACAGGCCTTGTGGAAAGTGCTGTCTTAAAAGGACTGATGTTGCTGCATCATTCATTGTTTGACATGACAGCCTTCACTTAATCTAGCACTTTCCATAACACACTGCGCTAAAATGTTGGCACACATTGTCTCATGAATTCCAACTACTCTGTGGATGATGTTATCATCCATATTTTAGGGTAAGGGAAAAGCACGAAAGTAACTATTCCAAGGACAAAAATGGAAGTTGACAGAACCAGAATTCAAGCCCACATCTATGGAAAAGCAAATACTTGTGTTCTTTGTCTCAAGTACACAGCAGTACTTTTTTTTTATATCGACATAACATTTAAGGTAAAATTGATATACAAAGTGATTATGCTTAAGTTAATGGTTAAAATACATCTCCAAGTCTACATAGTGAGTGTTCTTACAATGGCATTTCCCAAAGACTGTCTAGCCGATCCTATGGAGAGAGGCCTTTAGAAACATGACATTCATCTTTAAGCCAGGTAGAATCAGGGGCAAAGCAGGCAACATCTCTCCTGTTGATGGTATAGACTGATAAGTGGAAAGTCAGAAGGGCTCCAAAGTGCTAAACCAGGCTCAAGAACCCCCAGGCTCCAGCGTATTCTACTATTGCTCTACTATTCTATGGAGCAAAGGGACCCTTAGATCCAGGCTTCAGGTGACCACACTCATGTGGAAGCATTGACACAAATGTCCGCTTCAGCTTGTTGTTGCACAGAATGAGAATGAATGAGTCCCCAGCAAAGTAAGACATGGCAATTACTACACCAATTATCCTGGCAATCTTAGTTGCTGGTAGGAAACGGCTGAATGACAAAACTAGAAAGCAGAGAAAATAGATGAGGAAGAGGAAGAGGAAGGAGAAGATGATTCTCATGGCTCTTCTGTGGGCCTCAGTACTCTGATCTCTGGAGCTAATACTGTATTGCTGCATCTGCTGTGTGTGCTTCCCCAGAGAAAGGAGGAGCAGAAAGTAGGCAGCCAGGGAAACAATTAAGGGAGGAAGCTTCCACAGATTTCCGAGAACATGCATCAGATTGTATTCCCTTGTCTTCAATCTGAAGTATTCGGTCACATTTGATGTGCCTCTGCTTCCACTGAGGACAGAATAGATCTGAAATTCATTCATCAGAGATACGGTACAGATACAGGATAAGAGCAGTGCACCCCACAGCATCCCAACAACCACTCTGGAAGCTCTCCATTTGAGCCAGAGGAATGTGGGGTGGGAGAAACTGGCTATTTTCAGGCAGTAGAAAACACCAAGACAGGAGATAAGCCAAATACTGAAGTGGTTTGTGAATGTCCACAAAGCATCAATAAGCTGCATTGTTATCCCTGAGTCATGGGTGTGGTAAGAGAACACTATTATAAGGCCATCAATAAAGATGATCCACAGCAGAAAGATCCTGAAGAGAGCCAAGACGGTGATGATGAAGTCAGACAAAGACATTTTCTTGCTCTTGAACCAGTGGCTGCCATTGACCAACCCAATGAAACTATTCACCAGATTTCCGAGGATAAACTCAATGACAATCAGGACCAGGAATACCTCTTCAGTGAATCCCAACATGTCAGAATCCCAACCTGCTCCTGCTCCTGTTCGTGGGTCTCATCCCTTGCCAATTTCAAGGTGGGTTTGGTTTGGTTTGGTTTTTTCCCTGAGCTCTACCGCCTCATTTACTCCACTGCGTGATTTACTATGTCTTACAGATCTGTGAATCGGCTCTGGCTGTCCTATGCAGATGGCACAGGATGTCACTTCTATGACCCTAGCAAAGCAGCTGTTGGTTAAAATGCAAATAATGCCCAGTGTCATTGTGGGCAAGGAAGACATCTGGGTCACAAAGAAGAGTATGGGAGCACGGAGACTCAATTTCAGAGGGAGGGGGCATTGTGATTAAATGCAAAACACAAGATGTTGGTGTGTCGGTGTGTTGTGCCGTTCTGTGTGTGTGTGTGTGTGTGTGTGTGTGTGTGTGTGTGTGTGTGTGTGTCCCTCCGCTGGTGGCATTGTTTTAGGTGGTTAGGGAACCCTTAGGAAGTGGAAGCTAGCAAGAGGAAGTTACTGTCACTAGGGGTGACTTAGGGATTTTATCCTGGCCCCATTTTCTGTCTCTGCTTCCCAGGTAATATGATGGGTTGACCTGCTGCTCCCTCTGGAACTGGAACTGTATATCTAAATAAACCTTTTCCCCCTTAAGATATTTTTATCAAGGTATTTTATCACATTAACAAAAACCAAACAAACAAACAAACAGAAAAGTGGTGTTGGGAACCACACAGAAAAGAAATGTGAATGGTTCCTAAGAGAACCACAGAACCACCCAAAATATAGGAGGTCTTGTTTCTCTACAAAGAGGACAGACAGAAACAGAAAATGCCGGAATTCTACCACCCTGGAAGGAGGCTTAAGACCATAAGGTTCAGTGTCTCTGGTCTTAAAAAAATCAGTTGGTTTATTAAAAATTCCTTAACCTCAACTCATGAAAATATTGTCAAGTTTTGAATTTTGCAAATAGGTCTCAATAGCCAAAAACTAATTTTGCATAAAGATCTAATTTTTCCCCACCATGAAATGAATAACAAATTTTCCCGGCATCATGTGTTGAATAGCCACGCACCACTCTTAATGCCTGTTGCCTCCACACAAGCATGATCAATTTCTGGACTCTATTACGTCATTACTTTGTATCCACATCAACAATTTCTCACAGTAACCACACGCACACGTGAACAAAAACTGTAACTAGCAGGGCACATCCCCTACCTCATTCTCCAAGAGTCAGTTATTCTTGGGCACTTGCTTGTCAAAGCATCTTCAACATCAGCTTGCCTTGTGTTCCCAAAGGATTTCTACAAATTGAAATTTCTTTCCAACTATAACGATGGCCATGGTTCCAATATGCATGATATTTCAGTGTTTTTTTTAATGTGTTTCAATAAGGTTTTATAAAGCTCTCCACAGATCCATTCATTGAAGACTTCTTTCTGATATTCTTACCAGGCGTCTTTTCAAAGTTAACTTTCTGTGATGTTTAGAACTTGACATTTGGGTATTGCTTGACTTCCTATGACTCTTACCTGTCTTCACAGCATTTGTGAATCACTTTCTCTTCGTGATCTTAACACTCTGATTAACAGTCCTTGCTACAGTCTTAGTTCAAGTACGCTGTTAGAGTGCGCATCTTTCTACTTGAAAGGAAATGTAATGTTTAAACACACCTTTGGTACACAGTATTTATTTATAAACCACAATGGCAAGATTGGTGCACCACTGAAGAATCCTTTGTCCTGTAGTTGGCTATGTTTTAGTTCCTATTTTTTAAATGTTACTGAATTGTTTTCTTTCTGCAAGTCCAATGCTATAGAATGCATGACGTCCCTGCTCCCCAAATCCATATATTTCTTACCTTCCTTGTGACATACCACACAGAAAAGTACTTGGAGATAAGGCTTTTAAGGAGGAAACTAAGGTTACATGAGATCGGAAAGGTAGGGCTCTGATACCGCAAGCACACAGAATAAGGGTCACGTGAACACAGCAAGACAGCAGCCACCTGTCAGCAGCCAGGAATGATCACGCTGGCTGCAAGCTCAAGCCTTCCAGTTCCCAAAGCTAAAAGGAAATATCTGCTCTTCTCACTACCCATCTACATTTTATTCTGGCTGCCTGAGCAGACTAACAGACCTACCAAGGCAAAGAAACCATTCTGCACTTAGGAAATCCTCCCAGCTCAATTTTCCAATCTGCCATCTGCAAGGGAAGATTGAAAACAATACTTTTTGCTTTTCTAGAGACCTTTTCTCTGTGTAACCTTGATTGTCCTGGAGCTTACTGTGTAGACCAGGCTGGCTTCAAACCTGGAGACCCACCTGCCTCTGCCTTCCAAGTTCTGGGATTAAAAGCATGCAGCATTACCACCCAGCTTATTCTTAGCCTGCCTGATCATTTAGGAGGGCTACTAAGGTTCCTCACTAGGGACTGTAAGAGAAGTTTAACTTGATAAAAACAAAACAATAAAAAAAAGCTTGCTTAGTCTGACTGCTAAGGTTTTGTGTATTTTTCACATCCGAACTCCCTCCCCGAATTTATTGTGATCTGAGTTAAAATGGAAAAACCTGTGGAATCAGTGATGTCTTTCTTACTTCAACTTGCAGTGTAAGCAAAGATTTAACCATTTATTTGGACATAAAGGTAGATGTTTGTGAACTTGTAAGGAATATATTTAACTGTGCGCGCGCACACACACACACAGGACAGAGGGGGAAACTAATGAAATAAATGTCTTGATAGGTGGGGCCGTTTTAGGATTAGGGAGAAAGCTGGTGCAGGGAAACCCACAAGGATGACCCCAGCTAAGACTCCTAGCAATAGTGGAGGATGTCTGAACTGGCCATCACCTATAATCAGATTGGTGACTACCCTAATTGCCATCAGAGAACCTTCATCCAGTAACTGATGGGAAAAAAAATGCAGAGATCCAAAGTAAGTAGTGGGCTGAGCTTCTAGAATCCTGTTGAAGAGAGGAAGGATTGTACAAGCCAGGGAGGGAGGCCAAGGTCATCACAAGGGAACCCACACAAACAACTAACCTGGGCTTTTAGGAACTCACAGACTCTGGCACTCCAAGCAGTGGTGTCAGGGCCCGTCTCTAACGTTTGAGCTGGCTTTTGGGAACCTAGTCCCCGTACTTGGTTGTCTCACTCAGCCTTAACACAAAAGGAGGAGCTTAGTCCTACCTCAGCTTGATATGACGTTTCTAAAAAGTGAGCTTGAGAAATTCCTGAGCATTCCTGACAGTTTCCATGCTAGGTAAGTCGATAGCTAAGCCAGAAGACACCCTGCAGCAACTCTACCCTGTAAGGACACAAGGAAGCGGAACCGCCAGGAGAAGCCAGTGGAGGAGCTGTGACTTGTTTCTCTATAGGTTTAACAAGAGAGAGTAAAGAGTAGAGACGTTTCCTTCACTCCTAGTCTCTCCCTAACTGCAACCTACGACTTATTCCTAGTATGTTGGGAAGCACACTGTATGGGACACTCCGGTTTAGCAGTGGGACACTCTGGTTTAGCAGTGGGACACTGAAGCTACATAACCCAGTGTAAGGTGACCAGTGAGCAGAACCCTAATGCGTATTTCACATACCTGAGTCCAGACTCCCACTTTTAACCTGTGTTTCTGAATTTCATCTGCAAAATGACGCTGTCACTTTTTTCTTGGAAAACAGTTACAGGGAACAATGACAAAAATGTGTTCAGCATAGCATTTGACTCATTCAATGGGCTAAGAAGCATCAGTCAGTACTACGATTGTTGCCACTGCCTCAAGGGTTTCCCTGTAACTTACTAACCTGAGGGATCACTGTTCCTTTGCTCTGATCTGTCAGGCTGTTAACGCCAACTAGTCTTCACAGCATAGAATGCAAATCCTGAACGAAAGCAAGCAAAATGATCTCACTCTCATTCCCATTCCAAGTAACAGCCAGCACAGCAGTGTCACTGTGCCAGCCTGAGCTGGGTAGGGACAAAAGGACACCCTGAGTAGAGGAGAAACTAATCAGATGTCTTAGATGATCTATTTTGGGAGCAAGGGAAAACTCCTTGGGATCTTTCTTACTCATTATTGAGCTGAGCCTATAACCTAGTTGGCAACGATAACCAGTCTCCCTAAACAGCCTCGGAAGAAAATGTTTGGCGTCTGAAGTTGTGTGAGTTAATCATCCAGTCTGAGAATTGTGGAAGGAAGCAGTGGGTCTCACGCTGGCCAGTCTTTAAAGTGTAGCCTTCAGAGCCACGTACATGCTGCTACAGGTGAACGGAGATGACGCCCACAACCGTAAGACGCTGAAGAGCAGATGGCTGGGGGTATGTACGTACCAAAAGTTTTCTCCATCGCTCCCAGGATGTGAGGCCCCCACTGGCTACAGGGTGAGCAGGGCTGACTCTGTGATTTTAGGGCCCCACACACACTTTATTTTAAAATACGCACTCGTGTTATTAAAAGCATACATGGGAAGTATAAAGAACTACACACAATATCATACAGTCATAGCACTTGCTGCTTCTCTTCCCAACCTTTTAAGACACGCGTATCCTAACAAGCGTGCTATTTGATCCTTTTCTTCATGCCTTCCATCTTTCCATTTTACAGCGAATAACATCCCAAACGAGCTTCATGGGGAAGTTTTCTCTAAGTTTATAGCCTGATACAACCACATCAAAAAGGAAATTATGAAGACCCCAGACTTGAGAATTACAAGTTTCTAGTCTACTCTGTGCCTGAGAATTGTAATGGAAATAAGCAGTGGGTCTCATACTGGAAGCAGTGAAGTTTCTCGAAGATGGGGATGTTTGGGATTAGGTTCCAGCAAATCTGATTGGCTCGGGATCAGTCAAAATCACTAGGAAGGCAGAAGAGTCAGCCTGAGGGAGACGGCCGCTGCCTCCACATCACAGCCTTTCCGAGACACGGAAAGGAGGCAGTCTCGGGCTCACATAGATGATCCTGCAGGACATGTTGCTCTATTTCTGCATTCTAGACTCAGGAACAGCTTTGGCTTTGAGTTGGCTATTTTCCACTTCCACCCTGTTTAAATTTCACTCAGAAATACACACAACCCCTCACGATGTTGAGAATCATATAAAGGGCTTTGCTGAGGAAAAACATGGCAGCCA